GGACCCTGCTGGAAATTCCAGGGCTCCCACCACGCTCAGACTTAAAGCCCTGGCTCTGCCTCGTGTCCAGAGCGACACCTCGTGTGGCGCTGGCCATGTCGTGGGGCTTATTCTGGGGGGACTCGGGCAGGGCGTGTACGGAGACGCCGGCCTTCCGGAGAGCTGACGGTGCGGGCAGGGGGGCCAAGAATGAAGTCAGGGGTGGCTTCACACCCACCCTCCTGCGTCCTGGTCTCTGAGCGGCCGGTGCCAGAGCCCTTGGCAGCTCCCGTGGGCAGTGGGTCCTGCCTTTAAGCACGAATCCCTGCCGCCGCTGCAGCTGCCTCCCTGTCAGTTCCGAAGTCATCCTTCTCCCCCCACGCACTTCGCTTATCTCCCTCCTGTTAAAGGATCTCAAATATGCACCCCGGTAAGGTGGAGCCCACACCCACTCCCGGCCCCTTGCAATGCCAGCTGCCACTTTCTCCCGAAGTAATTAAGATAAATGCAGCTGATAATCTGCCCGGTTTCCTTAAACAGGCCCTCGGGCCATACCTCAGATATAATTTTACCTGCAAAGCTTTATCTGAGCGCTGGGGTAACAGATAGTTTTTAAGCAAAGCGGCAGCTTTTGAAGCAAAAGGAAAGGGGAATGTTTGTCAAATAAATGTCAGAATGAGCGCCACCGCGGCCCCTCAGCGCTCGCTCCCCAGGACTTGGGGCCTGTCGGCCAGCCAGCTGGGAAAGGGGCTGAGATGGGCGTGGGGGCACCAAGAGAGCAGCACGCACGGGGCAAGGCTGTGATGTGGCCGTGAGGGTCTCGTGCCCGCCACCCTCAGCCAGACCCCACTGGCTCCCTTTGCCCCGTTCATGCCCGGCAGCTGCACACTCCATCCTGGGCCTGCCCGGCCCCTTGGAGCCTGTTGCCCATCTGTAAGGGGGTGAGTGCTAACCTTGCAGGGAGGCTGTGAGGTCAAGGCTGTGTCCACACACCGTCCTCTGTCATCGTCCCCTAAAGCTGAGGGCTCCACGGGGCAGGCTGGACAGTGAGGGACAGAGAAGGGCCGCCTGGGTCCAACCTGACCCACACCTTCCTTCCACACCTGTCCTGCCACCCAGTACCGCGCCACCGCCCGGCCAGAGAAGTGCGCACCTGGGCACCAGCAGGCCGAGTCCAGGGTGGAGCGGGCAGGGCTGGAGGGGGCTGCGAGGCCCTCGCTCCACCAGCCCATGACAGCCAGGACAGGGGGACCGGGCAGGTGCCGCCTCCCCTGCGAGGCTTGTGCCCTCGCTCTCTGGCAGGGCAGGAGACAGGAGGCCAGGGCCCCTGACGGTGAGGATGGTGTGGCCTGGCCTGACTGGAGAAGCATTGTAAGGAGAGGTAAACCCGCCCATGTCTGGGTAGGTCTGTGACAGGGAGGCTCAGGAGGCCCGAAGCGAGAGCGCGTGGGTGCGGGCCAGGGGCCTCCAGCGGAGGTGTGACTGTGTCATGGAAGGTGGGAGCCCGGGCAGGTCTGAGGGTCTCTCAGGTCCAGCCCCTCATGTACAGCTGGGGAGTCTGAGGCTGGGAGGCCCAGAGTCACACGTGGAGGTCAGGGCACTGGACAGGACCATCTGTGTGCGGAGCTGCCTGGCCGCCAGGATGTGGGACAGCCCTGCCCCTGAGAACTCTCGAGGTCATCATCCCAGCTTCACAGGTGGTCACACACATGCCTGGGAGGGCTTCTCAGAGGAGGGGGCTGGAGAGGAGCCTGGAAGAGCAGTGGCCACACTCAGAGCTCACAGCTGCGGGGCTCAGCGAGCGCTGGGCCGTGTGAATGGTCTGCTGGCCGTCTAACCTCCCTGCCACAAGCCTTGGAGATCAGAGCTTCGCTCACCCGAGGAAGTGCCAGAGTGAAGGTTCCAGCCCAGACCCAGCTGGCCCCGCCCTGCAGGGACTCCCTGGAAGTGGGTGGGGATCAGGAAGGTGGGAGGCAGGGGAGAGGCATCCTGCGGAGGGGACCTCTCAGGCCAAGGCCCTAGGAGGGGCTCAGGAGGAAAGGCCGGAGTGGGGCCGTAGAGGGAGTGGAGAGCCCAGCGGAGAAAGAACAGAGAGGCCTTGGCTGAAACAGGGAGGTTAGAAGGGGAGGGGAGGGGGTGGGGAGCGAGGCCAGGCTCTGTGAGGGGGTGGGGTTGCAGGGGGGCGGAGGCCCAGGCCTGCAGAGGGACTGCTCCCCGCCGGGAGCTGCTGCCCACAGCCCGCACCGGAGCCAGCCGGTGCGGTGTGGGCTTGGGCTCCCCGGCGGCCGGGCCCAGGTAGTGTTTCTGAGGGACAAGGAGACGCCCGCGGGCCCGGGGTTCCCGGGGCCAGCTGGGATCTGAAGTATTGATCTCCCCACTTCAAAGGAGCCCCAGGCCTGCTGAAACCCACACCGTGAGCACCACGGGGCTTTGCCAAGAGCCTGGGCGGGGACAGGAACCTGAGACTCGGCACACGCTGCCCACACTTGCCCCACTGTCTGAGCCCCTGGACGGGCAGCCGGCATGGAGCGCCCCGGGGTGCCACAGGCAGAGCGTCAGGCCCACCGTCCCAGGGCCAAGGAGCGAGGGTGATGGGGACTGAGCTCTGCCCACAGGGCAGCACGTGGAGGCAGGGCCACCCCAGGGATGGGGCAGGCGCTGAGGTGAGACCGAGAGGCAAAGCCGCTCTCTGTCCTGCACGGGGCCAGCGTGGTCCCCAGAGGCCTGCTTCCCATCCCTTCCTGCTTCGCTATGTGCTGTGTAACTTGGACACATCACACAACCTCTCTGAGCCTCAGTTTCCTCACCCACTGTTTCTGTTGACTTTTTGCGGCCAAGGCTGTGAATCAGTCACTCACCAGTCTGTGCCCAGTGCCTGGCCCAGCATCTGGCAGAAAGGTAAAGACCCCTGAATGAATGAATGAGAGAATGCATGAATGCATGAATAAGAAGGAGCCAAGGGGGCTCTCCATCCTGCAGGCCCTCTCCAGGCCGCGGCCTGCCCGCGCCGGGTAAGGGCACCTTCCTGCCCTGTGATGCCAAGACTCACTTGAAGCCTTGGAGTCTCCTCATCACTAGGAGGAACTCAAGGTCCCCAAGAGTTGTACCGACGGTTCCCCAACACCAGGCGACAGCCAGCAGCCTGGAACTACAAACCACTACCAGCTACACTTTCCGCTGCTCCGGAATTTGGGCGCACACTGTTCCTTAGGAGAGAGTCACCAAGTCCAGTCCCTGTTCATAAGGAGGGTGCTGGGCCCCACCTTTTGGAGGAAGGAGGAACAAAGAATTTGTGGCCAAATTTTAAAACCACAACAGGTTACTTTGACAATCTCTCTCCAAACCACGAATGCACTTGCTCTTTGGCCCTGCCGTGTCTTCTTTGAGTTTACCTGGCTGATCTCACTTCACACATATCTGTTGCTCTGCAATTTTAAAGGCCTGAAAAGGATGCTCCATCCAGAGGGATCTGAATACATGCGTAGCCGTCCATCCGTTCTGCAGAATGTTCCACAGTGCATGTGGGTGGAGAGACGGACGGGCAGACCTCAGACCCTCTTTATGGGGTGCACACTTTGGAGGGAATTGCCTCCAAAATAATCTCTTAATGCAAAAAGTAAGCCACAGTGTGTGTCGTAGACTTTTGTTGAAGAAGAGCTGGAAATGGGACTACTTACTCACATTTGCTGGTATTTGCATCAGGAAACTCTGGAAGGACACACAAGACACTGCCCCAAGCATGGACAGCAGGACAGGGGAGGGGGATCCACGGCCAGGTGGGGCTGAGACCTCTCACCGCAGACCTTCGGACCCTGGGACCGTGCGATCTAGGCACACATAACATCACGGAAAGAAGTGTGAATCTCCATTCAGCCCGTGCCAAAGGTGGCCAGCTGACCCGAGCCCTGCAGGGCCTCCCAAGCTCACCCAGCTCCCCTCACCTGTGGTGGCTTCTTGGGGCTTGTGGCTCTGTGTAGCTGGGGACCTCCACCGGGAGCCACTCCCTCGCCAGCTCCCACGGGCTCTTGGCCGCCAGCAAAGCATCAGACCCACGCTGACTTGCTTTCCGTTTTCCTTGCAGCCACGGAGTCCCCATTCCCGAGGAAGCTGCGCAGCGACCCAGCTGAGGGCCGACTCCCCAGGTATGTGGAGGGGCAGCTGGCATGGGGTCTGGCAGGCTGCGCTGGCAGGAGGTGCCTTGTCCCCAGCCTCCCTACCCACCCTGTCAGCCCTACCCCATTTCCTTCTGTCTCTTAGGCAGTAATCCGGGCTGTCAGCTACCTCCCCGAAAGATGCGCCCAGAGCCAGCCATCAGGGCCGGCACGCGGCTCCGAACCACAGCCCTGGGCCAGGCTTGTCACCTGACGTTGTCCAGGCCACTCAGGCCAGAACCCTCCTCTCCAGGGGCGGCCGGCAGCACAGCTGTTTCAAACCAGCACAGTCACCTCTTAGTCCCGCTTCAGAGCCCACCCGGCCTTCTCCGCAAGCCCCTCCCTGTGACCTCACTACGTCTGCTTGGCGCCAGCAAGAAGATGGGGTTCAGAGGGGTGACTGGGCTGAGCAGTTGCAGTGTGAATGCGGAAAGTGCACGGGCTCCCGCTACGCTGTTGGCCACGTGTCTAGCAAGAGGCTGTTCACTACTTCACCCTCTGCCCTAAGTTCCAGGATTAGTCCCAGGACACAGATGGAGAAACCGAGGCTGAGTGAGGCCAGGGGCATCTCTGGGGATGTAGCCAGCACGGCACAGGGGATCAGGACCAGGGCCATCCACCTCCCCCACCCGCCCACCCCTATCAGGGGCGCGGCTCAGAGCCTGGACCTGAGGGGCCTTCATGTGTCTGACAGCTCCTCCTGCCTGACCTGCCATCCCTGTAAAGCTCAGAAAGCTGCAGGGAGGCCAGGCCCCGGGCCCCTCCCCCTCCCCTCAGCAGTGTCCGTCCGGGACAGCATGCTCGGGTGGTGAGGGAGGTCCCTGGAGGTCAGGAGGCCCTTGCACAACTGCCCACCTGACTTCTGGGCTCCTCTGCCCAGGAAGTTAAGGAGGGGAGGCCCCACCGGCAAGAGGCCCTCCTCACTCCTAGGGAGCGGAGGACACCAGCCCCAGGTGGGCTCAGAGCCCCTCCCAGCCTGATGCACGCTGGATCTCCACCCTGCAGCAGAGTGATGAGCTCTGCTGTGGGGTGTCCCGGGAGTCGGCCAGCAAGGGGGCCACTCCAGGAGGTCGGAATGCACCGGGGGCAGGCCGCCCTTGCCCAGGCTGCTGGCTGCTGCTCACCTGGGGACATGCTGCTGTTACCACTGTCATGTATTCATTCAACAGACTTCACCCACAAGCCTGCCCAAGGGCCCTCAGCCCACAGATAGAAAGGGGAACTGAGGACTGGCCCCAGGCAACTACTCGGGGGGAGGGGGCCCCCCAGGCTGATGGGGTGGGGAAGGGTCCGGGGGGGCAGAGAAGGGGGCAGCAGTGGGGTGGCCTGGCGCCCCCTGCTGGCTGACACTGGAACCATGCCCACCCTGGCCACCGCTTTGGAGCTGGGGACCTTGGCAGATGGCTGAGCTCCCTGGACCGTCTCGGAATAACCAGGAAAATACACGATGCTAACAGCTAGCCCCAGGACTGCTCTGAGGACGAGAATAGCTGTGCCTGAGACCCCCAGAGCTGCTGCCGGTTAGGAGTGGGGTCGTGGATGCAGGAGAAGGGAGGGGCGAGGGCTCCCCTCACCCAGCGTCTCCCCCAGGCTGCAGAAGCTCAGCATGTTCTGGGTGGGGGGCTTTTCTGCAGAGGACTGTGGGGCTTGTGCTCTGGGCTAGGGTCACAGGCACAGGCCAGAGTCGTGTGACCTGCAGCAGGAGCCGGGCTCCGAGGCCCAGGAAAGGAGCCGGCACATTCCAGAGGCCCGGGGTCTGCAGAGAAGGGGCCTAAAGCCATCCTGTGCAATCCCAGGTGCAGGGGGTGGGGCAGGTGAAGGACCAGGTGGCAGCCTCGACCGGCCTCAGGTGTGCAGTCTCACCCTCTTGTTCCCTCCCACTGGGCACCCCCTCCCCCCTTCCTGGGCTCTCCACCCTGGCCGTCAGGGGCCCGTCACTCCTCACAGTGGGGCTACTGTGGGTCTGGAGCCACCTGCCACAAGGGACCTTCCTGCTCAGGAAGCCTAGCAGGGCTGCTGGGGTGGCCAGGGTCTTCTCAGACCCCAGGCCCCAAGCAGCATCCTCTCTTTTCCTCCTCCTCCCCCCCACCAACCCCCTTCACGGTCTGGCAGGAACTTTTTTCCCCTCTCATCTCTCGAGGTGCCGTCAGAGCCAAGCCCTCTCCCCTGAAGGTGGGGGTCACGCGCCCGCGGCTCCCACTCCCAGCCCGCCACGCCCACGGGAGCCTCGGAGCCCCACAGCCCCCACTCACTGCATCCTTCCCTTGCAGGCTCCAGCGAGGACCATGAGAGCAGGCTCCGCCCAGGCCCCCCGAGGCGGGAGGATGGCCGCCCAGTCCACTTCCCACGGCCCGCATCGGACCACAGCATCCTCCTAGCGCCCAGGACGGGGGGGCCATGCCTGGGGAGCAGCCCCTCAGAGTGCCACCTCCCACCATGACTGGAGACATGCAGCCCTGCCGAGCGGCCAGTGGCACGGGGGGCCCTGCCCAACGCCCCGG